TTTTTTGGTATTTTCTTTTTTGATATTGTTTATTTAAATTATTTTCAAAAGTAATACAATTTTTCGCAGAAATTCAATTATGATCAGAAATTTTAAGTAATTCTGGTCAAAATTTAATTTGTCTTCAAAAATTAAAAATAATAAAAAACTTCTTCAAAATTCAATTATTTTAAAAAATTTCAATAAACTTCATGGCAAAATTTAAATTATTTTCAAAAAATTTCCTCAATTCAATGATTTTGAATATTTACAATTTTAATAAAGTTTTCCAAAAGATTTCAAGTATTTAAGAAATTTTAATACAATTTTACGCGAATATTTAATTATTTTCATAAAAATAAAAATTTCACAGGGATTCTATCATTTACAAATTTTTTATAAATTTTTTTGCAATAATTCAATTATTTTCATAAATAATAAATTTCTCCCAAATTCAATTATTTTAAAATATTTTAATAAAATGTCTCGAAAGGGTTCAATTATTTTTAAAAATTGTGTTATAATTTTTTTTTCATTCAATCATTCTGGAAAGTTTTGATAAAATTCTTTGTAAATTTCAATTATTTTCAAAAATTTTTAGTAATTAATAGTGGTAATTAATAATAAATAATAATTCAATAATTTAACAGTTTAACTCTGGAATAACTTTCTCAAAATAAATGATTTAAAAAATGAATTTTAGTTAAAAAAATTTAGAAAATATTTTACAAATAATTCATATGGTCTCAAATTTAATTATCTTAAAATTTTATGAAAATTCTGAAATTCATCGCAGAAGTTCTATTATTTTTAATATAATTCTATATAAATTTCCCGAAAAATGTAATAATTCTTAAAAATTTTTTCAAAATTCGTCGAAACAATTTAATTATTTAAAAATTTGTTAATAACATTTTTTAAGGAAAACTCAATTTTAAGCTACTTTTAAATATTTAATAAATAATTTTTTTTTGTATATAAATAATTGAATTTTCGTAGAATTTTTTTAATAAAAATCGATTTAAAAATGAATTTTGGTTAAAATTTCAGATAATAATTAAATATTAAAAGCATTATGGCGTGAATTTTTAGAAAAGATTTAATTTTGAAAAGGTTTCAAATTACAATTTTTGAATATATTAATTTTTCATTCTTTTAACTAACAATTCTGTAGAATTAATGTTTATTTGGATTTTTTTTAAATTACTTCTAGTATTTATTTTATAATTAATATTTCATTGAAGAATTTCCGTATAATACTGACATTTCGTAAAATTGAATTGTAAACAAATGTATTTGAAAATTCACAAAGAACTTTTTAAAAAATTATGAAAAATAGCAATAATTAAATTATTTAAAAAAAATTTATTTAAAAAAGGAAGTTATTAATGTTTTTGATTAATTTTTCGTTTGAAGAAATTTGTTAATAAATGTAATAGAACATTTTTTTGAGTATCTAATAATTTTTAGTGTAAATCACAATATTATTTAGGGTAAGGGAAAAACTCAAAATTTTGTATGGAAATCAGGGAAAAATAAAATAAAATTTTTCTAGCAACCCTGTTTTTAGAATCAGTTTCCAAACATGTTTTCACTGAAAAAAAAATTTATTGAATTCAAATATTGATTTAATTTAAATATTTTAATTTAACTTAAATATTTAAATTAAATTTAATATTTACTACAGTCGAGTAATTTTTATTTAAATCATCTAAATTATTTTAAATTATTAAATATAAGTACTCAAATTATTAACTCAAATACAATTTATTTGATTGCCGTTTACTTTTTCTTTTTTGATAAAAAATGCTTTTTTATATTTTTATTCATTTATTTATTTACAACAGAAGATCTGGTGATATAGAATTTTCGATCCGACATTTTTCTTATTTTCAAAATTGAAAACTTGACAATGACGTTTCAAGACATGGCGCAATATTGTCATTTTGCAAAAAAAAAAAAAATTTATCCACTTTTACGCCAATCGTTTTTTTTTATTCTATATGTATGTGAGTGGGAAAACAGATAAACTGGAAAAATGTGGTTAAACTTACAATGTAAACACCCAGTAACGATAACATTAATTATTACACAAAAAAAAGAGAATGTTGAGGAGAAGATAAAAAGTTCCCCTCCCCAATTAGTTCCAATTAGGCCGTCTAGATCAGATATAGACTCCACGAGTTCCCATTACATGATCAATGAGTAGCTTAAGATTAAAAAAAAAAAAAGAATTTCCCTGATTTCTTGATGTTTAGAGTTATATACTATAAATATATACATTGATAAAAATGAACGAAAGAGAGTGAGAGAGGGGGGGAGGGGGAGAGGAAAAAATATATGCCATTGCTCTTAAAAGTATGTATATATCCGTTATACAACGTAGCGTAATTACGCACGCTAACGTAGGTGGGTTGTGCCAGTTGTTGAGTAGCGAATAGTAGTTGTGGTAGTATTAATAATAGTAGTAGTAGCAGTAGTTGGATATAGCGCAGCTTCGTCAGTATCTACCTGCCACACTGGTGGTCGAGGGGTTGCAGTTCTCCCACACGAAGAACTGCTGGGGTGCGAGTGTAGTGGTGGCTGGCGGTTGTACGGGAGGAGGAAAAAGGGGGGGGGGAACTTTGGGGAGATTGTCAGAGGGTGGAGAACCCCGTGAAAGGGGGGTGGCAGAGAAAAGAGGTGGCAAAGGAGGTGGTGGGTACGCCGTTGGAACCGGTGCCATGAGTTCCAGTGTTCGCGCGGCCGCTCCCTGTCGCACACGAAATCACTCTCCGATGGTGGGCGTCGCGACGCCTTTTCACATCCACCGGAAAACGTGCTCGCGAATTTATAATTTCTCCGAATTTCTTTTCGCCACTTGAAAAATTCTTATTTGATAATCCTCCACACTCTAGTTTTCACTCGATCTCATTCTTCCCTTTTTTTTATTCATCGTCACGGAAAAATAAATTTTTTTATTTCGTTAGTGAATTTTTTTGAATTTTTAATCATGTGCGAAAATTTTACTCTTTAACATTTTTTTGTATTTGAAAATTTTACTATTTTAAATTTTTTCTGTTTTAAATTTAATCTGTTTGAAAATTTCACTGTTTAAAACTTTGACTGTACAAAATTTACTATAAAAATTTGATTTTAAAATTTGACTATAAAAATAAACTGTAAAATTTGACTGTAAAATTTAACTGTGAAATTGGACTCTAAAATTTGACTGTGAAATTTGACTGTAAAAATCAACTGTAAGCTTTGACTGTATAATTTAACTGTGAAATTTGACAATGGAATTGGACTCTAAAATTTTATTGTAAAATTTGACTGTAAAAATAAAATGTAAAATTTAATTGTGAAATTTGACTGTAAAATTTACCTATGATATTTGACAGTGGAATTGTACTCTAAAATTTGATTGTAAAATTTGACTGTAAAAATAAATTGTAAGATTTGATTGTATAATTTAACTGTGATATTTTACTGTAAAATTTAATTATGAAATTTGACAGTTGAATTGGACTTTAAAATTTAATTGTGAAATTTCACTGTGAAATTTGACTGTAATATTTAACTATGAAATTTGACAGTGGAATTTGATTGTAAAATTTGTCTGTCAGATTTGACTGTGAAATTTGACTGTCGAATTGGACTGTAAAATTTGATTGTAAAATTTCACTGTGAAATTTGACTGTAAAATTTGACTGTATAAATCAACTCTAAGATTTGACTATAAAAACCAACTGTGAGATTTGACTGTAAAATTTAACTGTGAAATTGGACTATAAAATTTGACTATAAAATTGGACTGTAAATATCAACTGTAACGATTTGACTGTAAATGTCAACTGTAAAATTTTACTGTAAGATTTGACTGTCAAATTTGTGAAATTTGACTATAAAAATTAGTAAAAATATCTTTTTCCAAACTCAATAGATGACTGTTTACAAAATGCAGTAGTGTACTTTTGACTGTGATGGTAATTCTCCGCTTTTGAATGTTATTGTTACAAATCAGTTGTTGACACTTGTTTCTTTATCAATCCTCGTTGACTTGTTGTTTATCGATAATTGTTAATGACAATTGATTCGTTATTTGTTAACCATATTAAGGACAATTTGAAAATAGTAATTAGTTGACAATTCCCAAAAAGTAATTAGTGAAAATTTAGAAAAGCTCTAACAACTTTAAAAACAAGTTTTTACAATTTGTGAAACAAAGATGTGATTTAAAATTCGTCTAAAAATTCGTTTAAAAATTTGTCTAAGAAAGTTCGTATAAGAACATTCGTATAATTTCGTCTACCTTTTTGTGACTAATAAAAAATAGTGAAACATTTCTAATTTTTTGTTCATGGGAAAGAATTGTGTTTAGTGGAGTGTTTTTTTTTTGGCTGAAGAAAAAAATTTGGTAAAAAAGGCGACAGGGAGCGTTTTAAACTATACATATCACTAAAAAAAAAATAGGATACAGAATTGAAAGTTCGTTTTAAATGAGAGGGAGGGAGAAGAAAGCTATATACAAGCTCTCTCATGTAGTGAAATAGTGATGGGAGTGAAAAACTTAATTTTCGCGTAAAAAGCTCTTGGTGGCGTTTGTGGCGACTCGACATTTTAATTATTAAAAAATTTTACAAAGTGAATCGACTGCCTTACCTGCCCGTGAGTCGCGTTCGCTCTTTGTGGACATTTTCGAAACACGAGAGAGTGACTCAGACAATTTCTTACCGGCACTTAAGAGATATTTTTTGCCAATCCTTTCTATTATTCAACGAGAAAAAGAACAATCTCTTCATTCTCAACTTCTGAGACAATTTGTCTAGTATTTTTTATGACTATTTGATACTTGAAGTTTAATTTTTTTTCCTGTTGAAAGAGAAGATTTTCAACTTTTAAGACAACAAATATTTGAAGTTTGATTTTTTTTGCTATTAACAGAAATAAAAAAAAACGATATACAACGAAAAAAACAATCTCTTAATTTTTAACTTTTGAGACTGTCTACTGTGTGATATTTGAAAAGTTTAATTTTTTTCCTGTTGAAAGAAAAAGCAAATAACAATTTCTTCATTTTCAACTTCTGAGAACAACAAATATTTGAAATATAATTAGAGGAAACAAAAATTTTTTTCTTAATAAAATAAGAAAGAGGGACAGTAATAAGAAATGTTTTCTTGGAAAAAGAAAAATTTCAACATAAAGAGTTATTTGTCGGGGGAAAATTGATAACTTTCTTTTCTATTTGGTGCAGATGTACAATTTTTAGAGCAATAACTAGTTCGTTCAACTCCCTTTTGTATGCTGTGTACAATCAAGTGCAACCTGTTAGTAAAGTGAATGAGGTTCACAGCTGCGATGCCAAGCACACAAGATTCGATAAGTAGAAAAAGATACGAATAGTCAGACGAACTGTTGAATAGAAAGAAAGATTCTTCATCTTAAAGTCGAAAATTTCGTTTTTTTTTAATTATAAATAGAATACATTCACGAAAATTATAATTAAAAATTATTATTGGTAAAAATTTATGATAATAATATTATTATTATTTTTAAATCCACGCTATAGATGGACAAGTAGAACGAAGTATTTATGGTCAGACACACTGTCGCCAGCTAACAACTTTAATGGAAGACTCACTATCAAGACTGAATCGTATAATTTTATATTCGTGTAAAAAGAACATTCATATCAAGGAATGAAATAAAACATATCCTCGTACCATAATCTCACACCACTGCAAGAAACTATCTAAAGAAGAAGGAAATAAGAAAGAAATCAATTTTTTTCGATAGAAAAAAAAGAGGGAGAAAGAGAGTAAAAAGTTGAAAAAAGAAAGAAAAAGGAAGAAAAGGAAAAAAAACTTTAGGATAAAAATTGTCTTTCGTGATAGGAAAATATATTTTCCACAGTTGATAAAAATATTTACAGTTTGGGTGATAAGTTATAGTTTTTTTAGTGCTATCAAGTGCAGGGTTGTATGATAATGCAGCTTTGTGTGATAATCAAAGGATTTTATTTGAAAGCAAGAGGATATTAAGTGATAACAAAGGGATCTTATCTAAAAACAAGAGGATCTTATCTGAAAACAAGAGGATTTTAAGCGTTAAAAAAAGTTTTAAAAAATCTTATTTGAATACAAGAGGATTTAATTTGAAAACAAGATCTTGAATGATAACCAAAGAATCGTATTCGAAAACAAGAAATTCTTGAACGATAACCAAAGGATCTTATTTAAGAACAAGAGAATCTTGAAGGATACCAAAAGGATCTTAAATTATAGCAAAGGCATCTTAGATTATAGCAAAAGGATCTTGAAATATAGGAACAAGATCTTAAATTATGGCAAAAAGATCTTTTTTGAAAATAAGAGGATCTTGAATAATAGCAAAAAGATAGTATTTGAAAACAACTGAACCTTATTTGAAATCAAGAGGATTTTATTTGAAAACAAGAGGATCTTATTTAAAAACAAGAAGATCTTATTCAAAAACAATAGGATCTTATTTGAAAACAATCGGAGCTTGAGTGACAACAAAAGGATCTTACATGATAACAAAAGTTTCTTTTTTAAAAACAAGAGGATCTTGAGTGAAAAACAAAGCGTCTTTCATGCTAACAAAAGAATTTTTTACGATAACAAAAGAGTTTATTCAGTAACAAAAGGGTCTTAAGATAACAAAAGAATTTTATACGACAACAAAATTTTATACGCTAGCAAAAGGATTTTACACGTTAAATAAATCCCTACATGAAAGTAAATGACACTATCAGATAATATCCAAACTGATAATAAATCTTGCAAGGAAACGATGAGGAGAAAATGAAGTCAACGAATCAGATTATTTACAGTCGAAAACTTTTTTTCAAAAAAAAAAAAATGATCTACGTCTCTTTTGATTGTCCTCAACATTGAAGCAATTTATCTTAAAAGAGAGGGGAGAGAAGAAAAAAAAAGTAATTTTACGATTAAAATATGCCGATGATGATTCTTGGTGTGGTTTGAAGTTTCTATTTCACGCCTGTCGAGTTTTCGATCATGTCTCAACAGAGAAGAGGTTCCATGCATGGAGGAAACTCCGTCACGAACCACGGAAGCAGCAATAACCTGCACATCACCTCTCACGAGATTCAAAATCATGGAATACCTTTGCCAGGAATGGTGCCTACTCGTTCAATACTTGGAAATTCAGTTCTTGGGAATCCCATTCATGGATTCGTTAATCCATTGGGTCCAATGGGCCCAAGTCATTCACCACCAACACATTCGAGTGGAATGATTGGAATCTCTCATCATCCCTCGAGTATGTATCAAGGTAGAGAATTTCATTTTGTGTGAGAAGAGCATTCTCTCTCTCTCTCTCTCTTTCTCTTTTCCTTCCGTTTTTTTTTTCTTTTTCTTTTTCTCTCTTCCAACCTACCGTTGGTTCAATTGAGAAATACATTCTCCCGCGTGTCTATATAGTTTGAAAGACTCGAAAGTTTCTTCCATTTTTGAACAATAGTCGATGGTCCGTTGACCGATATCGTGATACTGTTCTACATCTATATAGAAATCATTGTATTTACTCAGTCATACGAAATGCGAAGTGCATTCTTCTCGGCTTTTATGTTTCTCGTTCACTTTTTTCTTTCTGCCCCCTTTTTTTTTTTTTTTTTTGCTGATGTTCTTTTTTCAGTTTATACTTTTGCTGAATAGTCTTGTGTATAATTATAAGTGTGTGGGCTTTCATTTACATGCGGAATCGTTACGTTATTTCTGTAATAATAAATAACGTTGTAATTATTTTTATGAAGTACTAAAAAAATACTTTTTGAAGTAACACTTTTTTTTCAACTTTTACATTTTCTTGTTGGAATAATTATTTTATACGTAAATTTTCGATTTATTATTAATTAAAATTAAGTAAAAATAATTTGTTTATAAATAAATTATTTGAAAATAAATTAATTATGAATTAATTAAATATAATTTATTTATGAATTAATTAAAAATAATTTACTTATGAATGAATTAATTAAGAAAATTAATTTAGGAATAAATTATTAAAAACTAATTGATTTATGAATAAATGAATTAATTAAAAAAATTGATTTAGAAATAAATTAATTCAAGTAATTGATTTATGAAACGTTTTATTGAAATTAGAAGTGTTAATAAATTTTTATCATTTTACAAATTTTGTGAAAATAGGGACAACAGAAAAAATTTGAATTTAAGTAACTAATTAGTTGCTAACAAACTATTAATTCCTTTAAAAATTATTATTTAAATTGCAGTATATATTTTTTATTTCTTTAATTGAAAATATATTAAAATATTTTACATAATTATAAAAATAATTTTTATTTTTATTTTAATTTTAATTAATAAATTTTTTTATATTTTATTGAATATGCCGAAAATATTTTATTCAAATAAATCAGTTTACTTGATTTAATTATTGATTTGATGAATCGAATACTACTTTTATTTTATAAAGACGAAAGTAATTGTTGCATAAAATAGTAAAACTAGTTACTAGTACTAGTTACTAGTTAGTAGTCAATTAATCGATTATTGGAAATAAATTATGTTTTCAAGTGGAGTAGATTTCTGCTACTAATTAGTAATTTTTAATTACGATGAAATGAAATTTTTTTCATTTAAATAATCGATTATCTGACTATTATCGAACAAATATTTATTTGCGGCAAATTACAACTTTAATTTTCTATATAAAATAAAGTGCCTTTGAAGTTTATTATTATTATATTTGAAATTATAATAGAAAAATCTAAAAAAAACTTAATTGAAATAACCAATTACTTGTCTAATATCAAATAAATATTTACTTGAATCAAATAATTTTTATTTAAATCAAATAAATTGTAGGTTTTTAAATCAATAATATCAATATTTGAAGCAAATACCATTTAATTAATTTAAATAAAAATTATTTGATTCAAGTAAATATTTATTTAATAACAGGCAACTAATTGGTTATTTGAATCAAATAATTATTTTTATAAATTTTGAACGCTTAAATGAACAAAATATTTGTCATTTAAAAATATTTTCGTAATAAAATTAATAAACTTGAAACTTTAATTAATTCTTTTGATACGAGACGCAAAATTATTGTAATAAAATTTTAATTTGAAGAAGAAACAAATAAATGTCGTTCATTTGAACGTTTATAGAAATTTAAGAACATAAATTTTGATTTTAATTATTTTAAAATTCAAGTAATAAAATAACCAAAAATTTAAAAGTAGTTGAATTATTGAAAAATAATAATAAAAATGATTCAAAAATAATTAGCGAAATTATTAGAAAAATTAACACGGGTCATAATTGAATTTTATCCGATGAAAAACAAATGTTTAAACGATTGTGTCAAATATTGAACCTAATGCGTACATTAAATTTCATTTTATACGGTGAATGTTAAATTGAAGCGATGCACGTAATTGAAAGTTACACATATATAACAACGTGCTGACTATTGTGACGTTCTATTGTTTGAATTCAGTGCACAGCTTTTACGTCAGTTGACAACTTCATGTTGAACTCATGCAAATGAACAATGATATAGTAACTTTAGATTTAAAAAAAAAAAGAAAAAAGTTGCTGGTAATTAAAAATTGTCACTGAAATCTATTCGTAGATACGTGAATAGTAAAATTTTTTCCGATTTTTTTTCTATATTTCCCAGAACTCATTAAAATGACAGTTTAGTCAGTTGGGAAATTTTTTTTACCGTTTCTTCATTTTTAATGCCTCTTGAATTATTGGATGTTGGAAATAAATTTTTCTTTTTTCGATTCGTAAATTCTCGATTGAATTATCTTTAATTCAGATTATTTCTCTATAATGGAAAATCTTTTTTACTTTCTCTTTTTTGAGAATTTTAACTAAACTGAATTATTGGTGAAAATTGGTGGATATTGTTTCGAAAAAAAATTCTTAAATTAAAAACTGAAAATGGTCGAGCGAAATTAGTTAACTTTTAATATAGAGAAAATGGACGAGTCAATATAGTGTCTTGAGTTTTTTTTTCCTTCTTTCTCTTTTTTTTGGGGGGAGAGGAAACTTTCGAGTCTTTCAAAGTACTATAAAGTGAAGTTGAAATTTTAACAAAAGATACATAAAAATACTTGATATTCATCTGAAAGGGTACGAAAAAGTTCCTCCAGGCTCTCCTTATTCTGGGCACGGTTCTCCGTTAAGAAGTCTCGTGAGTTCCAGTCACGGAACTTCGCTAGAGACTTCCTCGCCACAACTGGTTAGGCATCGTCAAGACTCGGAAAACACTATTGGAATTTCAGCGAGACGAAGCTCAGACGTGGCTTCGTCACTTCTAGAAAGTCAATCATTGCTTTCAGCCGAGCGCGTACTACGACGATTGGAATACGGTCCTCAACAGGGTATGTTCAAAACAATTTCTCTTTCTCTCTTCCTCGAATAAGAAAAATAACCGGAAATCCTGGAGGGTTGAATTTTAAATCTGTGCTTGTTTTTTTCCTTTGTTTTTCACAAAAACAAATTCATTTTTATTTTTGGAGTAAATAAAAATCTACAGGGTTGCCAGGAGTTCAGGGAAAAATCATGGAAAATAAAATCAATCATCGACAATTCAGGGAATTTTGTCAAAAGTACAGGAAAAATAATAAATTTTTAGAATTCATAAAAGAATTCTGAATTTTGTTGTTCAACAAACTTTAAAAATATTGAAAAGATTTAATTTCATTTTAAATTCGCTTTCTATTTCTAACGATAAAATTGAACTTTACAGATTTGAAATTGAATTTATTTTAATATTTCAAATAATTAAATTCTTGAAAAACTATCGAAAAATTATTGTTTATAAATTATTTTGCGAATAATTTTATTTAAAAATTCAAAAAAATATTGAATTTTATAAAAGTCGTGCCTTCAATTTTAATAAATAATATAAATAAGAAACAAATGTTACCAGCAATAATTACCAGAATAATTTCAGATTCAAAATTTAAAAAAATTCAACTTTAATAAAATTCTTCAAAACAATTCAATTATTTTAAAAAAATTTAATAAATTCTTCAGATGAGATACAATTTTTTTCAATACAATTTTTACAATTTTCTTCGAAATTCCTTCCAAAAATATTAAAATTGTATTGAAAATAATTGAATATCATCTGAAGAATTTATTAAATTTTTTGAAAATAATTGTATTTTTAATTTTCAATAAAATTCTGTATAAGCATTCAATTATTATCTATGCAATTTCGATTTTATTTCGCGAAAGAATTTAATTATTTTTACAAAATACCCGTAAAATTCTTCAAAACAAATTCAATTATTTTCAAAAAATGCAATAAATTGTTCAGATGAGATTCAATTATTTTCAGTACAATTTTAATATTTCTGGAAGGAATTCAATTACTTTTAATTTTAATAAATTTTATTAAAATTCTATATAAGAATTGAATACTTTTCAAAAGAATTTTAACTGAATTAGTTGAAAAAATTTGCATGAATTCAATTATTTTCATATATGCAATATAATTCTTTACAAGAATTTAATTATTTTTAATATAATTTTAATAAAATCTCTTCAAAGAATTTAAGTATTTTTATTTTTTTTTAAATTTTATAAAATTCTTTATAAGAATTCAATTATTCTCCATGCAATTTAATTAAATTCCTAGAAATTTTTTTTATTATTTTCGCAAACTACATAAAATATTCTTCAAAATAAATTATTAAAAATTTTTTTTTTAAAATTATATTTAAAAATTAAATTAATTCAGGCTCAACATTATAAAAAGTTACAAAAATTACAAATAGCAATAAAAAAATGAAAAATAATATTGATAAAAAATTTTATCTTTTAAAATAGAAAAAATTTCACATATTAACGTAAAATTGTGTAAAATAAATTAATTTCTAAAAATTTTTTGAAAAAATATCACAAAATTTATTCTTCAAATTTCAATTAGTAAAAGTTTAAACTAATTAAATCCAAAGTGATATGAATTTTTTAAAAAATAATTTCTTAATTTTACATAGAACCTGAATTATATTAAAATTTGAAAAATTCTGATTTTCTTGGAAGGAAAAAATAACCGAATTTTGCATTAATTTGAATTAGTTTCTCTGAAGTCAATTTTTTAAAAATATTTTTGACTTTAGTTGTATTTTCGAATAAATATTTAATTGAAAAATTTTCAAATCATAAAAATTTCATGAAATATAAATTGTAAAGAAGTGAATATCAGAAATATTTTAGGTGAATTGTTTTTTTTTAAGTAAATAATTGAATTCTTAAGGAATTTTCTCGGAAATTATTAAAAATAATTGAATTAAAAAAATTGGTAGTAAAAAATTCCAGAACTGATCTGATCGGTTGTTTTCAAAATCAAAAAAAAAATTTTTGAATGAGAAATATTCTAAGAAAAAAATATGTATTTTGAAAATACAATAGGTAATATTTTAATTCTTCATTAATTAATATGCAGTGTTTTTTGTTAGTATAAACAAAAGAAGAATTTGGGAATGAGAGTGGAAAAAAGGGGACAATTTTTTTTCGGGGTTAGTCATTTTAAAATCCGTGTCATATAATTCAGCCCTAATGTTACTCTATAAAAATTCAGGAGTTTACAACTTTTATTTCCCCGGGGAGGAATATAATCAGTTTTAATCCTTTAACCGGCAAACGCGAGTGAAAAACGAAAACATTATTCCAGCACTGAATTTTTGTCCTAAAATAACTTGCGACGAAAATTATCCCAAGAGTGTTGTTTTAACACTTGAAATGAGATTCTTAACTAGGTGCCGTAACTATTGTTTTGTTTTTTCAAACATTAGAATAATGAGTCTTTAAATATTTAGTGGGAGAAAAACGTTCTTTTTTTGTTTATAAATTTTCTACTTGGCCTTGAATTGTATGACTGTATAAACTTTTTCGACTATTCTAATTTTTATAGTTTGTAAACAATATAGTCAAAGTTAAAATCTTTCAAAAATTAGTTTCGAATAATTATTTTAGGATAATTGAATTTTCGAAATATATTTTTATTCCCTTAATTTATATACTTATTTATTTATTTTTTTTAATTTTCCTTCGCTTAATTTTTTTAATATAATAAATTTTTAATAAATTTTCAATAAATTTTCAATAGATTTTCATTTCACTAATTTCTTCACTACAATAAAAATATTAACAAGAAATTAATAAAATAAACCATACTTCAAGTTCCTACAGTGAAAATAACAATAGAGGCAGTGTATAAATAATAGAAAATTCAATATAGATCGAGTGTTGTATTTATTATCCGTAACTTTTTCATATCTGCTTTTTATTGGGGGTTTGTAAATCGATCGTGACATTAAGTGTTTTGCTTAAAAATAAAAACTTGAATATAAAAAGATAATTTTTTTTCTTTCTCGTTTTTTTTTATTTAAACTTGATAAAGGTAAAAGCGATATCGAAATTCTGTCAAGTGAGCCCGCGGAAAACGAGTTTTGTGCTAAACTTTTCCCCGCTAACGTACGAAACTTTATTTTCACCCTATCTGAGAATTTTCTTAAACTCTTTTGATTTTTTCGCATTTCTAAATAAACGAATAGGCAAAATAGTACATTTTTCGTTTATGATAAACAGAGAGAAAAACATTTCCATTTCTAGTCAGAGAAAAAATATAATAATTGTAAAGGTGTAAATATTTGTTTTAAATAATAAATAAATTCTAACTACAATATTGAAATTTTTTTAAAATTATAAGTAATAGTAAATAATAAAAAAAGTACCTAATAATAATTATAAGTAATAATTAATAATAACAATATTGAATCAAATAAAAAAAATTGCTTGGAGTAAAAAAATATAATATACAAATAATTAACATAAATAAAAAAATTTAATAAATGAAAATTTTAATATTTTCATAAATAAGGAATAATTGAAATATTCCAGGATGAAGTTAAATGAAATATATTTGGCAAACATACATTTCAAGATTCACGCGTATATCATCAAAAGTCCCAAGTTTTGAGCACCTTCATGCTAATTACTAAAGTTCGAGCTTGAATCATTAAGTTTGACTTCCTAGCGACAATACAATAGTAAACAACTGTAATTAAAGTGACTATTTGACAAGTTCTATCGTTGTCTAAAGTCTACAATGGAAGAGCAACTCGCAATTTCCTTCTTATCATTTAAGGAATTTTCTCAAGATATGAACTAATTAGGAATTATGGTATATTTTCTTTACTAGACAATATACTACAGAAATCTTGTAGAAAATAGAACAAAATAAATAAAAATAAATATAAATATGAAATAAGATAATTTTCATAATAAACTCTACTAATTGGAATGATTTTTAGAAAAAAAAAATTTCCATTATCCAATTAAATTTAATTAGTGAATTTTTTAATTTTTAACTGAAAAAAAAATATTGCTGTACAGTTTTCAAAAATTTGCAATTTTTTTCTATGGTTTTTATTTGTAGTGAGTAAAATGCGAGTAAAATTAATTAATATTCGAAAATGTATTATTTTTAAATAAATATTACAAGAGAAATAAATTTTTACCTGAAACAGCTGCAAATTTCACTATATATTAACGAAAATTTTAGTTATTTTAGTTAAAACTTTCGTTATTCTAGAGAAATTTTTAGCCTTTCCAGGTGAAGCTGTCGTTTCGTGTAGTAAATAAATTAACTTCTTGTTTAATATAATTATATATTTGATATAATTAGGTATTTAATTGAATTGTATATTTAATTTAATTAAATATTTGGTACAATGAAGTATTTAATAAAATTAAATTTTTATTTAAAACAATATTTATTTAACACAATTTATTTTATCTTTATTTTATACAATTAATTAAATAAAAAGTAAATTAATTTATTCAGTATTGTCAAAAATTTAATTTTATATTTCACTGAATTTTTACTGATTTCTAAATGCAATATTATTCAAAACTTCAAAAATTTTTGTTTTAAATAAAGTAATTTCTTTTTCTACAGACATTAAAATTTTTCAATTTTTCAAACCTTCTGACATTTAATTTTTTCTAAAAATTACGTATATAATCTTCTAAAATTGAATTATTTCATAGAATTTTTAACTAAATTTCTTCTCTAAATTAATTATTTTTAATAATTTTATGAAAGTTCTTTGAGAAAATTCAATTACTCAAAGAGAAAAATTTTATTTTTTATAACAATTGTAACTGTAACTCTTCGTGTTTTTTAAGTTATTAAGATAAATTATTGAAAATAAGCAATTAACCAAAAATATTGTAAATAATTTGTCTTCAAAAGATTATAATATCAAAATTCTTAAAATTATTTTTCTAATAATATTTTTAAATAATTTTTAATACAATAATGGATTTTTTAATTCTATATAGAATTGAAAATTTTACAAATAATTGAAATTTATTTAAAAAATTTAAGAATAATTGGATTTTTTACAAGAATTTTTTGGAAAAAATTAGAAAATA